TATAATGTATGCTTCGTCCCCTACGTAGAGGTGCCACAAATGCAATCTTGTTCTGGACCTCTGACGGCATAAAGGCAGCCATGTTTGTGGACATTTTGACTCACGATGGGTTAAAAAAGCGTTGAAAAGTGCGGATTATAAACCGATGGTTGCACGCCTCTCTGAAATCTGAAGAGGAAAATCCACCACTCCAACATTTCTTTTCATTTTCAAAAAAATCAACTCTGTTTTTCCTTCCAGGCATCTTGAGAATCGCACCTGAGGCCACCTGGATCCCACTTAATAAGACTTAAGCCAGTACAATCACCTGCTATCTTAATCAGTCAGCCGGCTCCATTACAGCATGTAAAAATTGCTTTTCTCGCCACAAGCGTTCGTTGTGAATTTATCTTAATTGTGTCATGATTATGCCTTAAAGCCGGTGGTGCAAGCTTTACCTACTCTATTCAAATGCTCTCCTCATCTTCCCAAAGAGGCAAAAGGCGAAATAACCCTATCTCTGCTCCTTTCTGTCAAGTATTTTCCAAACGCTATATGTAACTCCGAAAAAGAGGGGATTATGGTCTACATTGAAGAAAAAAATCATAAAAGCGATGAACAGGATGGTTATCACTCTATTTGCTAGCACCGTTTGAAATGATCGCAATCACAAAAGGACTTAAGACAAGAGACTGTGGTGTTAATAATGTGGTCTGTATGAATAAATTCATGTCTATATCACATAAAGCAGGTATGTCAAAACTCAGGCACAATCTAACATGACATTTTCAAACATGCTTGTCCTGACAGAAAAGTATCTTAAAGTATCTTGTATCTTAAAATATCTTGCAAAAGTTAGATGTTGTGAACAGATGCGCTCTACTGGGGTCTATTGTGTGCACCTATAGTGTGTCTCTATCGATCTATCTACCTAGTGCACTTGTAAATAGTAAACTGTAGAAATGTATGTATGCCTTCTTGTTTTTATTCTGATTTGAATTGTTTGCACCAAGAGCCAAAGCAATATCCTAGTTTGTGACTTCCTGTTACTCACATGGCAATAAAACGGATTCTGATTCTGATTCAGATCCGTCCACATTTAGTCTTCATCTTACTACTATCTTTTGCCAAGAAAAAGTTCTTTGAGTATGACTCTTTGAGCTGATCTGAAAAAGCTTGACTAAACATGTGACAAAGGCAAACAATATATAAGTGACTCCACGTGAAAACTACGGACAAAACCAAACTGCTTTGAGAGCGAGGACAGACTTGTACATAGATCAATAAACAAAACAACAAAAATCATGTACCACAGCTTTAAGGGAAGGTGAAGTTTAAGATAAAATATACATGAATATGGTGTTTGAGAGATTTTCTGATTCAGATTTATGTAATGATTGTAATAATTTTACTCTTTAATTTTTTATATTTTAGAAAGTGTTTTGCTTTAGAAATATTGTAATATGCCTTATTTTTTCTCTACTTTTGACTTTTTGCACCGAGAGCCAAAGCAATTTCCTAGTCTGTGACTTCCTGTTTAAAAATATTCTGATTTTGGTGGTGTCTAGAGAGTCTGTCTGCCCCAGGGCAACTATGGCTACAGTTATTGCTTTCCATCACAGCGAGAGTGAATGATGCACCATTACTAAAGCACTTTGTGATGGTGAAAAGTTTATTTAATATTGAGTACTTACTTAGTTAAAACACATTTTGAAGAAACCTGTGTTTTCCAACTTGAAAAAAATAATAATTAAGAAATAGAATAATTAAAATATGAAAATTGACATTGTTTTGCTCATGCATTGTTACAAACACGTCATATATTTTCTTCTTTATATAGATGCTCTTCAATGCAGTATAAATGTAGAGTCATGTAAAATCTATGATTCTAGCTCCATCTAGCGGCCAAACAGTTTCATTACATAACATTGGATGGCTGTAACTTGTCTCTTGTCTTGTTTGAAATTGTCTTGTCTGAAACTGTTTACATGGATGAAGTTACAGATTGTGATGAAACAGTTGAAAAAGGTTGAATGTACACAAGAGCAGATCCAAGACATGAGGTAAATGACTTCTGAATGGTTTCCACACAAAAAAAAATCAATTTGCATCAACATTCCCTTTCAATTCTGTTAAGTGATTTTCTGGTTAATATGTCTGCATTATTTTAATGCATTCATTTTCAAATTATACTTTGAAAGAGTCACCTTTAAAATGACAATAAACTAAATGTGTCGAACTTGAACTGTTGTTAGACCACACACCTCTTTTGTTGTGTTGTCATCTACAAAGTAACTCATTTTAAAACGTAAGTAGCTGGTAGATTTGTTTTAAAAGTAAGGCATAAGTGAAAACTTTTCAGACAAATAAGTAATAAAGGAAAGCACTGATACAAGAATAGAAAAAAATAATACTTACTAGCTATGCTACCTAAGGTTAAAATTACAAATAAATCGAACTATATACAAAAATGACACTAACAGTTTGGTTGGTACATTTATGTATTTTTGGACTGTATAAGATCAGCAGGTGGAGGGGACGACATGGACTGACCATCTCTCAGGCCAAAGATTAAAATTAAGAGATTGTTTCCATTGTATTCGTCCCACAGTGGGAACTGAAGAAGATGACATAGTCTGGGATCGCGTCTTAAATTCAGACAGAAGACATGTTTTATTGTCGATGGTAGAGACAGCACGATCAAAGCACACGATCACAGAAACAATAGAATGCAAGTGTATTATACAGAGCGGAGGCATGGAGACCTCCAATCAGCAGCTGCCACGGTGTGCTTGTAGCTTGGCCTTCAGATAGACAAAACAAGGGAAAAGTACTGGCTTCTGCACATTGATAGAATGATGAGTTTAACCTTAACAAAAGTTGCTTCAAAGTGTTATGAAATCTCACATTCCCCCCTCTGGTCACACATTCACGTGTGACCATCAGGATCGATAAACAGCAACATAACATCATAACTCAATACTTCAAAAACTCATAAACTCGGTACTTCACTCGGTACCTCAAAAAACTCAGAACTCGGAATACTTCAAAAACTCATAAAACATGTTCAGATCTTTCATAAAACTTGTCAACAATCTTCAGTAAAATACCAAACTTCATCAGTCGATGGTTCCAGTTATTGCTTTGAAAACAGTCTCTCCCACTTCTCCTGTTGGTTTCTTCAGGCTGCATTTGTGTCGAGCCATGAATTCTTCTGTGACGTGTCTTTCAATCACACGTTTCAGCTTCAGTGTCCAGATTCAGAAATCCAATTCAGTCCAAATTATGTCCAAATTCAGATATCCAATTGTTCCAAATCATGTCCAAATTGTGTAATCCAGATTGTTCCAAATGATGTCCATGCAAAAGAGGACGATGGTATTGTCCATGTCTCAGCAGCTCACAGCAGGTCTGAGTAGAATAAGGGGCTGTGCAGATTGTCCATGTGTGCTGATCCAGATGCATTCTCTTGAGGTTTCTCAGTTTTGGCTTAAAAAAAAAAAAACACTTTTTGTGTAAAAAAAAAAGTAGTCTTCTGTTCACTAGATGTTACAGACAAGGCCCGCATCCTTCCACCACCTGAAGAGGATGACATAGTCTGGGATCGCGTCTTACATTCAGACAGAAGACATGTTTTATTGTCGATGGTAGAGACAGCACGAACAAAGCACACGATCACAGAAACAATAGAATGCAAGTGTATTATACAGAGCGGAGGCATGGAGACCTCCAATCAGCAGCTGCCACGGTGTGCTTGTAGCTTGGCCTTCAGATAGACAAAACAAGGGAAAAGTACTGGCTTCTGCACATTGATAGAATGATGAGTTTAACCTTAACAAAAGTTGCTTCAAAGTGTGAAATCTCACAGAACATTTCAATGTTGCATCACAAGCTACAGAACATTATGAATAAGGAGCACACCACACGTGATATTAATGGTATATAGGAGGATTGAGGATCAATACAATTTGTCCTCACAATTATCAATGATTCTGGTGATTGGAATAAGGATTCGCACATAAATACCTACAGATTGGTGCGTAGGAGGATAGGCCCGTATAGCCTAATGTGATAGAAAGATTCCCGCACACTGTCTTACTTGCAAATTAGAATGATTAATTGAAATATATTATTTTAATTCGCACGTAAGACGGTGTCAAGGATCTTTCTCTCTAATGATTCTGGTGATGCTCGTCAAACAAGACCAGAGAGTTTATGCCTTTAAGTACAGTATAGCACAACACGTATGGACATTGGTCAACTCCCTATGGACCAATACCTATGTGTTCTATATTTTTTGTGTTTGAACTCTTTGATTCCCTGACCTGTGTTGGCAATTTCAAACGTTTTTTTCAAGTCCTCTGAGATAACTACTGTTGTGATTTAGAGCTAAGAAAAACATTTTAAAAAGAAAAAAAACTGCATAGAATCGAATCTCTTGCAAAGCGTAAAATAATGACTCATAGGGCTCTTTCTTGCAAGTGCTGTGTAAAAGAAAAAATCAAAATGTGGTGATCTAATTAATAATTTAATACTTTAATTCGCCTCCTGGCCACTAGAGGCGTCACTCCTCGCGCTGTGTTTCTCTGAGCAACAAACAAGCTCTGAAGTCAACAGAGATGCTATGCTAGCTGCTCCAGATACAGCTACGGCTAGTTTCCACCCTGCTTTTCTCTACTTTTCTCCATCACTCTACAGCACTTTAATGACCGGAAACGCGTATGAGGCTTTTCAAACACAGAAATCCTGCAGAAATCGCAATAATCGTTGGATAAACTTCAAAGCTCTAGCAAAAGGAGCATCGTCAAATCCGCTGATGCGGCTTTAGCTAAGATGCTCTCAGCACAACATACCATCTCATTTTGTAAATAAATAAACAACTTCTATTCTGCAGCATGAAGCCCAAAAGCTAGATGATTCTATGCATTTAGCTTTGTCTGGAGTGCGGGAGAAGTGAGTGAGATCAGCCCCGGGAGCAGGCTGCAGACTGGGCTTTAGGCTCCTGGGATCAGCGGTGTTTGATGGGTCTCCTCCGGGTCATGATGATGGCCCCAAAGGTGTACCTCCTGGCTCTGCTGGCGTTCGGGGTGGCTGTACTCTTCATAGAAAACCAGATCCAAAAACTAGAGGAGTCCCGAGCTAAACTGGGTAAGTCCACACGTGTATTTTAACTTAGGGCAAAGTTCTATGTTGAGCTGAGGAAGATGGACAGATGCTAAATGGTTATGGCAAGGCAAGGCAAGTTTATTTGTATAGCACAATTCATACACAAGGCAACTCAAAGTGAGTTAATATAATCACAGTGCATTAAAAATAAAGATAAAAGTATAAAATCCCTCAGTTGTATGCACAGCTAAACATGGTATGATATTGATGTCACTAAAATATTTTTATGTGTGGTATATTCTCACACTTTGCCTCTTGCTTAAATGTATGTATTTATCATTTTGTTTCGTTATTGTATTATCATGCTTGATTTATTTAATGAATTAATTTTTTCTTTAGTTTTTAAATCACTAATATATTAGAGACATGTTAGTCCCATACAAACCAAGCCGGACTCTGAGGAGCACAGGGACTGGACTCCTGTTAGTGCCCAGAGTCAGAACTAAACATGGGGAGGCTGCTTTTCAGATTCATGCTGCTAAAATCTGGAACAGTCTTCCTGAAGATGTGAGACAGGCCTCCTCTCTGACAATGTTTAAAACCAGGTTAAAAACAGTTCTGTTTAGCTGTGCATACAACTGAGGGATTTTATATTTTTATCTTTCTTTTTAATGTTCTGTGATTATTTATGATTTTAATGCTTTCTTATTTTGTTCAGCTCTTTGAATTGCCTTGTGTATGAATTGTGCAATATAATTAAACTTACCTTGCCTTAAATCAGACACACAAAGGGTCCATATAAAACAAACACAACGAGAAAAGAGACAAACAACATACAAATATTGAATGTTTACAAAATTCTATAAAGACAGTTTCTCCCATGCCTCCAGAGTTCAGATTAGATTAGCTGCAAGTATATAACATGTTCAATAAAATGTCATTACAATTTCAATTAATTTTATTTTTGTGTAGCCCTAAATCACAACAGTAGTGATCTCGGAGGACTTTACAAAGCCGTCAATTCGCCAACACAGATCAGAGAATCAAACGATGATAAGATGATAACATGATAAATTAACACATAGCGCACACATGAATGCCGTTGATGTTGAGTGTTCTGGATCAACACCATGTTCCCCTATTTCTATTTTAGCTGGAGTAGGATGACATTTAAATCACAAGGTTCTCTTTGCCAAGTTTACCAACTCAGATGGCATACTACCATATTGTATTTAATGCATTTCAATACAACAGTCAGTACGTCCTCTTAATCTCATTGGCATCACGTCGTAACTTGTATAGAATTTGACTAGAAAGATTCATGATCAAAATCACTGGTATTGCACACATACCTCTGTGAGCAGGTCTGAGACGTGTTCAGACACATAAGTCTCCCTAACAGGCCATGAGAGGGCATGGGGGCACATGTTGTTTATAGAACAGGATCACTTCAGTTTTATTTTGCTAATGGTTAAGGACCATTATTCCATTCACTAGTGACTAGTTTATTACAGTAGTTGTGTGTTGTTTACATACCTATTCAACCATAAGAAACTCATGGGAAGCAACTTAAGAACACATTCATTAAGTGAAAAAAGAAAAATACTTTTTTTTTCATTCATTCATTCATGGAAAGATGTGTTTGCAAAGTATTTTAAACCAAACATCTATGTTTAACAAGTCATCTCTTTGACAATGTTTTCCGGAGACATCCCTGGAGTTTTGTTTTAGTCAAATGTTGAAAAAAAAAAAAAATACATATTTTATGACATTTCTGGATCTAAACAACTAACCAATTCATAAAAAGAGTTATCAGACAATTCATCACGTATCAACATAATCGTTAGTTTAATAATTTCAGCCCTGCTTTATATGATGCAATTTCAGTTAAAATAAAGACAAAATCTATTTTAGTTCCCTACAAATATTTATATTTGTTTACATGTATGTTAGTATGCATGTAGGTTTGTGGTTATGTATATAATTCTGTTTTGTTGTTAGGGCCTGATTTTTGTTTTCTATAAAGTATGTATCCTCATGACTTTGCTCTTAATTTAAAGTCAAATTAGATTTTTAAAAGAATATATGTCATTATAGGAGAAAGCAGTTTTTTTTCATGACAAGCCCTATATATCTTCTTTATCCATTCAGTACAGTATGTCTCTTGCATTTATAATTCTCATTTTTCCAGACCTGCTTACTCCTTAAAGTGTGCCGCTGTTTACAGCCTCACACCGTGCATTTAATTTAATTTGGAAACATAAAAAGGCTATTTGTCATAAACATTGTCCAGCATTGTATCTAAACACAACAATGCACAAACTACGCAGTGTGAAGCGGCTCCCTTTTGTGCCATTTATAAGTTTATTATTTTACTGCAGTAATTGAGGTCTTTGTTTACAATCTTCAGCTCTAATTGTTTTTCTTTCATGTTTATTTTCTCCCTGTGCGTATGTATTTCTTCTCCTCTGAATGAGCAGCCGCTGCAGACGAAGGCCACCGCTGTAACCGCCTTTAATTAACACGGCGCTGGAGCGAGCGGAGAGCAACACTTTTAATTATGCCTCCTGTCAATATTATCATGGAAGGCCTAATGAGTTGTTTCTGTGTAATTGTATTTTGAGGGCTGTTTCCTTAATTAAGCCTGGCTAATTAGCTTCTGTGTCCTTAATTTAAAAAGTAGCAGTTTATTTCTTTGTCTTTATTGCTGGGCTGTTTGCCCTTCCACCTGCTGCCAGAGGAAATAAAACCGTAAACAGCCCTCCAAACACTGTGTGCAAATGTACGACTTCATCACGGTGGGAAAGTAACGTTCGTCGAAGCCGCAGTGAAACGATGAACTTGAATGCGATTTACGAGTCTTGCAGTGATTTTTAAACCAGGCATGTCCAAACTAAGGCCCGGGAGCCATTTGGGGTCCTGTGCGTAATTTTCTTTGGCCATTTTTATTTATTAATTAATTTGATATGGATACACCCGTTACAATGGACAGACCAGACCATGCTCGTGTAGGACAGAAATGTACACATTTAAAATTTACAAATATAAAATTAATTTAATATATACTTCATTAACCATGTGAACAACGTTGCTCCGATTTCAGCCACAGTTTCAGACGTTTGTCGAAGATAGTGGTTTGTTAACAAAAAAAATCACAGACGTATACATTTGAGAGTCCACACATAATCTATTCATGTTGACCTACCACTATTTTTGTAGTTTTAAACCACAGCAACATTGGGATTCTAAAGAGAAAATACAGTATTGGCTGGATATGATATTTTTGGGGCTGTAGTTATTTGATTCATCAAAACTAACAAATTATTGAAATAGTTGTCAACTAATACAGGACAGAGATATAATTATAAACATGTGTATTAAACAAGTAATTTTGTGAAAAAATGTCAACATGCAGAGGGGTTTAAGGACAGTAATGATCCAGGACATTTAAAGTCATTTATGGACATTTATTCACATTTATTGACATTGCTCATCAGCTCGCTCTGAACCAACGTTTCTGGAATTTCCTTATATTCGAACTGTTTGATTCTCAGATCTGTTCTTGGTCAATCGACAACATTGTAAAGTCCTCCGAGATGAATGCTGTTGTGATTTAGGGCTATACAAAAATAAAATTTGACTGAATTTATTAAGGAGATGTCCACAAGTTGTATCATCTTAACTTGGATATTGTTAAATCTCTTTAAAAAATCCATATTTATAGGCCTTTTTGTGGCCCAAAAAACTAATAAATTAGTATTGGAATGAATACCCAACCAGCTAATTCTTTCTGAAAGCTATTTGCGAGATACGTGATGGATGCTTTACTTGGACCCTGCTGTGTTCCAGAGCGCACCATCGCCAGACACGAGCTGGCGCAGGTGGAGCAGCGGCACAGCGAGTCGTTGGGGAGAGAGTCTTCATCGACGGCCGAGCGAGACGACTCCGTGATCATCTACAACCGAGTCCCCAAGACCGGCAGCACCTCCTTCACCAACATCGCCTATGACCTGTGCCCCAAGAACAACTTCCACGTGCTGCACATCAACACAAGCAAGAACAACCCCGTCATGTCCATACAGGACCAGGTGGGGGCAGCACTGCACTCTCCATACACACAGCAGAACAGGTCATTTCTATCAATTCCATTTTTGACAGATTACAGATACATTGAATCTGTACATACAGTAGGTACACGTGTAGGCCTGTCACGATGACACATTTTTCTAGATGATTAATTGTCTCAGAAATTATTGCGATAAGCGATAATATTGTCGTTTTGAGATCATTTTCATGTAATACATTGATAATGATGCAGGTACACTTTTTCAAAGATGAATACAATTTTATTTTTAAAGACCACCGCCGGAAGTGGCGGAAGTAGCGAGCGGGCGGGCTTTGATGCTAACGGAGTTAAGCTAGCGGTTTTTTGTGTAAAGTTCTTTGCCAAGAATGCAGCTCTGCAGCGTCTCTGTGTCCAGAGACTTTATATTACAGCAGTATGTGTTCACGGAGGTGCAACATAAGTTTATTTTATTATTCAACGGTACTTCCTCATCGGCGAACACGCTAACACAAGATGCACTAGTTTAGTCACTACTAGAGCCTGAATGAGAACTCAGGCTGGCATATGTTTACAACTACTGTGGCCTCCATTGTCAATCCTGGTTAAGTCCTGGTTTAGGTCCTGTTTTGGCTGTATTTTGCATTTTTGAGTTATTTCAGTCTGCTCGCTAGACCGCTAATGTTCCCGTGACCACTTTGCGCTCTCTGACCTGAGATAGAGAGAGAGCGAGCGAGAGAGAGAGAGACAAGAAAAACAAACAAGCATGCAAATGGAATTTATTGCGGCCAGAAAAGTTATCGAGCTAATTTTAATTATGTGATGAATTGATTTATTGAATATCGCGATAGGCCTGTACACGTGTGAAAATAATGAATTGAATTGAATTGACGTTAAATGAATCTTTGTAAAGCTCATAAATTGGGTTGAACATTGTATAAACTAAAATGTCGGGATGGCGACATTGGTCATCCGCCCCTTATAAACCTAAAGCTCTATGTGTTTTTTTAATCGTTGTATTTCTTGTGTTCAAACAACTTTTTAAAGTCCTCCGAGATAATTATGGTTGTGATTTAAAGCTATACAAAAATACCATTCATCCATCCATCCATTTTCTACCCCTTAATCCATTTCTGGGTCAGGAGGGGTGGCCAGAGATGCCACCCAGTACACATAGAACCAGCCCCTATACAAAAATACATTGAATTGAATTGAATTTTATCAGCTAAAAATGCTGATGTCCCTCCAGGCCTGATGTTTTTGACCACTTTTTTGGACACAATTTTCATCACACTATTTTTCAAAGTGGCGCGTTGACTTTCTGCCCACTTTCTGACACCAGTCAACTGCAGCTGTGGTGCGGCTCAGGACACCGTAAACAGCTCGCGGCTTTGTGTTTGGCCAAATCTGGTCCTGGCGCCAAGGTAATATCCTGTGCCCCCCGTCACTCCAGGCGGAGCGCGACTGATTATCATTATTATTGTTTTAATGATGATAAACCACCACACTGCACATCACTCTCATTTCATTTCAACACGGAACATTTGTCTTGTTTCCAGGAAAACCACGCCAACGCTGCCAAATCCAGTTTTGACGTTGCCATAATTTCAACTCAACCATCGACCGTTATGAAATATGACCTCCAGGTGTTTAAAAGCAAAAGTTATTACAGCGCTTATGCCAGTCTGACTTTTCTATTGAAAGCTTTGCACTGCTCTCTGCTACTAGACCTTAACATATAATGAAAACCACATTTGTTTGACTTCACAGTGTGCTTCTTTTCATCCACTTTACCCCGGCTCACACTGCTGCCTCGTCCACGGCAAAGATGCAAGCGCGTCCTATGAAAGATAGCCATGGTTTCCTGATAACTAGAATCAGAAGACACGTTGGTAATCCAATAGAAATGCCATCCCCCTACAATGCATTGCTTTGTCATTCAATTCAATTTATTTTTGAAGAGTCCTTATTCCTAACAGTCGTTTTTTTCTCGAAGGACTTTACAAAGCCGTCGTTTTGCCAACACAGATCAGAGAATCAAACGGTTCAAACACAAGAAATGCAATGATGAAAAAACGCATTATGGACCAAAACAGAGCCATTGGTCCATAAGAGGCAAACGACCAATGTCCATAAATGTTGCTGAATGTCGGGTGTCCTGGATCATCATCCTCCTTATTTTTCAGACATGTCCAAACTAAAGCTTGCGGACCAATGTTCTGTGTCGTTTTATGTGGCCCTCTGCCTTGCTAACCTAAACTAGGATTTGAAATCCAGTCATTGCCTTTATTTTGTAAATACTAACCTGTGTTTTTGTTTGTGTTACAACATTCTGTATGTTTTGCTACTGTCGCTGGTGTGATGGTAAACATGTGTCATCCATCCAACTTCAGCTTAAATTTGAATATGATGTCACACCCCATATTAAAGTTCAGAAAAGCTCAAATTCAGACAAAACCATTTTACATTCTGTGTTGTCGGCCCCTGGACCGCTAAAGTGGTCCTCTTACTAAAATGTTTGGGCTCCTCTGTCTTACATCATTTTGTCATACATATATTTTCTGTTTTGTAATCTTTGTTTAGGACAGAGGCCTCAAACTCAATTCAGCTGGGGGCCGTGTGAGGCAGAGTCTGGGTCTCATTAAGAGATATATTTATCTGGGATTTGTGTGTGTGCTAAAGATTTGAACATTGGAGCTAACAGAACTATGCACATGTATAATTGGACCACTACAATTGAACAAGCAGTTATAACACCTGGATGGACAAATATACCTAAATGTCTCTCACTCGTTCTTTTGTAAAACAGAAGAGGAAGTAAATATTTGTAATTGAGAGATGGAATACAGAAATCAAGCAGTTGTGGAAAGTTAGCTCAGCATTTACATCTGATTACATCATGATTTTTATTCAATGCTGGTGTGGATATCATTTTCTTCATTTGGATTGAAACCAAACTGGACCAAAGGCAATGAGGCTCAATGTTTACTTTGAATGAATACTTATTGAATTTAGGGTTCATTGTTTATGATAAAATTGACGGCGGTAATAACGGTTGTTCTCTTGGTAAAATTAGCTTTACATTGATATATGACGTGCCATATTAGCCCCTTCTCTCAGTGGGGGGCCACACTGACGTTAAGCTGATGTTCAGTAGGGGGCCACAAAATACCCTTTTTTTGCAGACTGCCTGTTTGAGATAACTGATTTCAGAGATATGCAACATTTTTAGATCATGACACGGATTGTTTAATAATAATAATAATAATTCATTGGTTTTATTTAGCGCTTTTCAGGACACTCAAAGATGCTATACATGTCAATACGCTTTCACTCCATACACAGTGGTGATAAACTACCAATGTAGCCACAACTGCCCTGGGGCACATTAGGCACAACAGAAGGCAACAAGTATATGCCATCGCCCCGTTCAACCACCAACCATTCACACACACACAAGACTCATTCTATGCCATGTGGGTGAAGTGTCTTGCCGAAGGACACAACCACAGTTTGACACTTTGGTGTTCTAAACCAGGACACTGCCAAATTTGGAATATATTCATGGGACTTTCAATGTGGTTTTATTTGATAGAAAATATATTTATATAAAAGACGATATGATTCAGTTGACTTGGCTCATTAACGATCTGCCCCATTTGAACAAAAACAAAATATTGGTGCGTTTGTCTTTCTTTTATTGAATTTTTACCGTGGAAAATTTTCTGCTTCTGGTTGCCATGCGTGCTCCTCATTCCTACAGTTCTGTAACTTGTGATGCAACACTGAAATTCCCCCTGTGTAACAAATAAATAATAATTTCAGTGTTGCGTCACGAGTTACAGAACAGTAGGAATGAGGAGCAGACAGCACACGATAAAATAGCAAAAGTCTATAACTTTTGCATGGTAAAAAAGCAAGTATAAAATCTCTAGCTTTAACAAAACAAGGAAGCAAGTCTAAAATATCAGACTTTGCAAAACTTTAGCAAAAATATAACAAAAGTGAAATATAAAAATACATACTAAACAAAACCATGACAAAGAATATTCATTAATAATTATTTGAATAAAAAATATAATATTTCTCACACAGCACATGGGTTAACATCCCTGATAATACAAATGCCGTAATGCATCTAACGCTTGTGTACATAATAATTCCTGTTTCAAATTTTTCTCCGTTGTTGTGCACAGATGCGGTTCGTCCGAAACGTCACATCATGGAAAGAGATGAAACCGGGGTTCTACCACGGCCACGTCGCCTATCTGGACTTCTCAAAGTACGACGCCATTTAACATTTCACTAAAACGTATGCACATTAGTGAGAAGAGGAGCTCTGTACCGAGAAAAACCCTCTTATTGTCAGTAATGCTGTTGATTAACGGCTTTGTTGTCCTTTTCTCCGCTGCCTGTATCATTTCAGTCATCAAAGCTAATTATCCTAGCGTGTTTTTGCTAATGGAAAAAGGCTCCCTCTTCACTACAATAAACACTCGTGGGTTTAAAGGGCATTGAGAGGCTGTCTGAGTTTTTCAAGTGCACAATTAAATGAAAATGCCTTTGTGTCTGTAGGTATGGAGTGAAGGGAAAGCCTTTGTATATTAATGTGGTGAGGGACCCGATCGAGCGCCTGGTGTCCTATTACTACTTCCTGAGGTTTGGAGACGACTACAGACCTGGACTACGAAGGAGGAAGCAAGGAGACAAAAAGGTGCGTTTGATATGTAGCATCTGGTGGGGTGGAGCTTGTCAGTCACTCCTCCACTCATGTAATTAATGCAATCAAAATCCCTACAAAATGCAAAGATCATATTCACACAATATTCGTTTGTGTGACAAGACGAATAATTGTAATATGTAATGTATTGTTATGTCCACAATAAAAATCAATAAATACATAAATAAATAAACAATACAGGTCAGTGTACTTTTGCGTTCAATACATTTTCTATTTTTGAAGGGAAATGGAAAATCAAAAAAAGGCTATTTTGCACTTTCAGGCACACAGCAATATACAAAAATGACCTTTTTTTTTGTTTTGTTTTTTCTTTTAAGACATTTATATTATAATAACCGGATTTGGGAACTACAAAATGCAATAATTAACCTTTTTTATTATGTATTTTAATACATTTCGGCGTCAATCCAAGAACAGATAAACGTAAAATTTCTGATTGTCCAAAAAAAAAAAAAAAATACAGGGATTGAAACTAAACTTTTCTCATTTACTTTTCAAATTGAAAAAAGAGTACTATTCTGTGACTGGTGATGCAACACTGAAATTTCCCCACTGTAGGCCGAATACAGGATCTCTTAATCTTAATCTTAATCTTTTGCGTGGCAGACGTTTGACGAGTGCGTGGCGTCCGGAGGCTCAGACTGCGCTCCGGAGAAGCTGTGGCTGCAGATCCCCTTCTTCTGCGGACACCACTCAGAGTGCTGGTGAGAAACTTAATTCCTCTTCATACGACTCCAGTAGAATCCCTCCCTGTATCAGCCATGCCTCTGCCTTTTGCTCATGATGGAGAGAATTGTATCCATGTGTTCTCTAGTCCAATCACATCGCTCATTTTGCAGATCATTTAGTAGATTTGGGTCAATATCTAGCCTGTTCTAGAGGTTCTTTAACTCTTAGAACAGGCATTTCAAACTTGAATATTTTCTAAAATGTGAACTAAAATGTAATTAGATGGTATAGTTACTTCATTAATATGTTTTGTATTTAATCTTACAATATATTTTTCTTCTTAATATTTTCTTAATATCCAAACTCATGTCAAATGCAATACATTTGTTAAAAGATGAAACGATGAAGAAGAAAAGAATACCACTTTTCTACTTTTGACCCCAACCAGCTCCTATGTTTTTACATTTGGCCCCTGACCAAAATGAGTTTTACATCCACCACTTAGAATATACAATGACTCTTATGGGCCCTGAAAAAGCCATGTTCCAGCTTCTTCCGTCTGAGATGCAGGACTTCTCGATATGCTAACAAATTCTTTCCAACAAGCTGTTATCAGTTTGAATAAAGCACTTAAACAATCTTTCATTTGTCATTGAAGCTGTTTTTTCTGTACTCTTCGTTTCATTCATGTTCTCGTCTGGTGCACTTGTATTCCAATGTGGTTTTACTGCAAATGCCAGTATTTGTAAAACTTGAGCTACTATCGATGGTCGATTATCAATTAGTTCATCTGCAGTTTTGCATTTAGAATATTTTGTCTACGTTATTGTCATCCTTTGGGTTAAATGTAGCAAACAAAATACAGTTTCTACAGTTACAACATGCATAGAACCATTTGGCTTGAGACATTTGTCACAATGAGGGACTGGAGAGAAATGGACATAACGAGGAAAAGCAATAATCGTCAGAACAGTGACAGAAGTGCAATAAATATAACCTTTTACGGCTTTAAACTTTCATCCCGGCATAACTGTGGAACAAACAGTGCTAATCGCTTTATCTAAACTCCTCGCTTTGGCTGCAATGTGCTGCTTACAAAATGCCAGGGAGCATTAATCTGCATTTATCACCATCTGCAAACTTTGGTCAAACTTACTCTGGAGATAGAACCGTGTTTGCTTCTCGGCCATCTGTTTCCAAAAGTTATTTTAAAAAAGGGCAAAATCAGGAGCAGAGCACTGGAAATTACGTGATTGGACTGGACTAGACTGGACCGTCGGCGTATAAGGAAAATGCTAGTTGTTTTTCGCTGAATCTGCCAGGACATCCATCCATCCATTTTCTTCCGCTTTATCCGTTGCCGAGTCAGGGGAGTAGATGACTAAGCAGAGACGGCTCATCCGGAGGAAAATCCTGAGGCATTCCCAGGCCAGGTCCTGGGTGTTCCCCGGTCCCCTCCCAGTGGGACAAGCCCCAAACACCTCTCCACGAAGGCATCCAGGAGGCAGCCGAAGCGGATGACTGAGCCTCGTCAACTGACTATTCATCGGACAATTGAATCCTAATATTTGTGTCAGCATGAGCAGTGAACATGGATTGCCAATGCATGTTGTTGTTCTACCTCAATTAAAACATGTTAGTAAACTTTGAACACGGTTTCAATGGATATCGACCGGACATGTATCAAAGTCTGGGGAGGCAGAACGTTGCATAGACCTTGTATCAGGATTTATAAATGGTAAAGTCCAGTTCTCAGGTCTCTGCACTGGTTTCCTGTGGCTCAGAGAATAGATTTTAAATCAGTTCTGCTTGTGTACAAGTTCCTCCAGTGGCGGCACGGTGGCTGAGTGGATAGCACTCTCGCCTCTCAGCAAGAAGGTCCTGTGTTCGAATCCCGGTCGGACCAGGGCCTTTCTGAGTGGAGTTTGCATGTTCTCTCCGTGTCTGTGTAGGTTTCCTCCGGGTACTCCGGTTTCCCCTACCACTAAAAATATGTCCAATAGTTCTGCCCAAAATTAACAATTGTAAACCGCTTTGAGACTCAGATCTGCAGTGAAAAGGCGGTATATAAATAAAGATTACTTACTACTACTTACTTACTCCATGGCCTCGCACCAAAGTGCATAAGTGACATGTTAGGGCCATATGAACCAACCCGGACTCTGAGGAACACAGGGACTGGCCTTCTGCTGCTGCCAGAGTCAGAATTAAACATGGCAGGGGCTATCCTTTTTTGTTCAGCACTTTGAGTTGCCTTGTGTTATGCCATACAAATAAAGTTATCTCGGCTAAAATGGTAAATAGTCGCACTTATGCGATTTACATCAAGGAACAAATCACGCATCTATACACCGGTCTACACACTGGGAGCGAGGCGGGTAAGGTGTCTTGCCCAAGGATACATGGCAGCATTCACCAATGGGAGCTGGTTTCAAACCTGCAGCTCAGTCGATCTGACCGCTCAAACAAATGATGTTTGAGTGTATTCGAATCACCAACCTTCAGCTCAGGAAACACACCCAGGTCAAAAACTATCTTATTGTATTGTGAGGTTCTTGCCAAAGCCCGACACGGTGTATAATAGTTGCAGATGCAGGAGGGTCCAAGGACAGTGATGATCCAGGACCCTCGACATTCAACGACATTTATGGACATTGGTCATCTGCCCCTTATGGACCAATTCTTGCATTTGTTGTGTTTGAACTGTTTGATTCTCTGATTTGTGTTGGCGACAGTTTTGTAAATTCCTCCGACATAACTACTGTTGTGATTTAGGGCTATACAAAAATAAATGTAATTGAATCCCGATGCAGGAGGGTCTAAGGACAGAGGCTGTTCCAGGAGATTCGTGAACCCATTATCCAATGGACCAATAACTCTTGGGTGTTTGATTGTTGATATGTGTTCTATCTTCTGATTGTTTGATTTTCTTGTCTGTTGTTGGAAAATTGTGTTTTGTAAAGTCCTCCGAGGTAACTACTGTTGTGATTTAGAGTTATACAATATTTAATTTAATTTATTTAATTAATTGAATTAACAAATACCTACTGGTTAGTTTTGATCAGAGTCTTTACATAAAAAGGAAGGGAATATCAGCTCTTTTTAAGTAATCCTGATTGTGATAAGTGTGAAATTGTTCTTGCTGCCTAAATCAGGGTCATGTGTGTTGCTGCGTTGCCGTGGGGGTTGTCTGTAAATTAGATCATTGAGTGATGCGTCTCCAGCTCATTATAGAGTGTCCATCATTGAACAGTGACCAGTCATTCAACTGCAGCTGACCTAAGCCCGTCCAGCAGGGTCTGCAGCTGTTCGTGTGAAGTCTGGCTGAACAAATGTTACAAAATATGTAAATAAGAACTTTCACAAAACTTGAAACTGCCAAAGAATTCTATACATTTCAGAACATTGGTAACCTCATAATGTTCCTAAGAAGATATTTTTACTTACAAAACTATTCGATTTCTCCATACAAAAAATGACAATAAGTTTCATACGGAAAATGGAAAGTGTGAAGGGTGTTTGGATGCTAGTTGTTAAGAATTCCATAAATTTCAGAACATTGGTAACCTCATAATGTTCCTAAGAAGGTATTTTTACCTACACAACTGTTCGATTTCTCTATAGAAAAAATGACGTGAAGCTCCTTTGAGTGTCCTGAGAATCGCTATACAAAACCGACGCATTATTATTATGGTAGCAAGATATTTGTATGAGTTAAACTTTTCTATAGCGTCAAATAAAGTGAAAAAATAGATGTTTGCCTCATGGTGTCATTTATGGTGTCACCTGTCGTAACGTGTCATGTGTTTGTAGGAACGCAGGCAGCCGCTGGGCTCTGGATCAGGCCAAACTCAACCTGGTGAACGAGTACCTGATCGTGGGAGTGACGGAGGAGCTGGAGGACTTCATCATGATCCTGGAGGCCACGCTGCCCAGGTTCTTCAAAGGAGCCACGGAGCTCTACAAGACAGGTACCTCTATCGTCCGACGGATATGACCAACGCAATCATGACAGTTCAAGTATAGGCAGTGTTTTGTCACACATTCAAATCCTAATGTGGAACTATCAAAACATCAAGTACTTATTGGTTATTATTAGTTGATATCAAAATAGATACAAAACAAACTGTAATTTGCTTAAAGGCACAGTAAAGGTTTCATGTTAGCTTAGCCGTAGCATCAAGCATCCGAGTAGAACCAAGTTATAACCACACCCCCTCCGCCAAACCCAACTCCTAGCAGTCTGTGACGAAGCCTCCTAGCTTGATATGTGAAATTAGGGCTCAAGTCTGTGAGCGATTTGCCTGCCATACTTGACAAGCGCTAACTTCCCCTAACAAACTATCAATCTGCAAAACCTTTCCCAAAGTATTTTGAAAATCGCGTCTGGATAAATCATTAACTGAATCTTTAACTTAAAAACAAAAACTCTTAGCGTTTTCACAGCAATTACACGCATTGGTTTTAGGCAGCAGTTTAGTCTTGATTTTTCTTAACGTCTAATATTTCATATCTCGTTTTAAATCTTGTTTGTTGTGTTTTGTATGAAATGATTTGACTACTTTTACTAGTAGTCGTGTTTGCTTTACTATACTAAAACAATGAGAACTAGCAGTTAGCAACAATTATAACTGTTCTAACTAATTGATTCAAGTAAGTAAAACAAAAAAGAGCCCTTAATGTTAGAAAAAAAACTCTAACCAAAAACACAAAATTTGCCCATTTCCTGTGATTTACAGGTAATCGGGTAACTTTGTGCTACTTTTCTTGTCATTTCCATGGTAAGTAACAGAGGGAGTCACAAACTAGGAATTTCCTTTGGCATATGACAAAGAAAGTTACAAAAAATTAAAAAATGGATGTATCGGCATGCATAACAAAATCTTAATACAATTCTAATAAATCTCTCAAATTCTAAATGATTTACAATTATATGTGATAATAAAATTCTTGTTCTGTACAGAAATTCTGCTGAGTTTGAAGGACATGCAGTCAAGGATTCTTTAAGAACCATTTTTTATTCCCCATTAAAATAATTTATAATCAAAACGCAGCATAAATATATTTTGTTGTTCCACTTGAATTGACTCCGTGGATAAAAACAGATCAGTAGAAAAGAATGCCCAAAATCCAGTCATAGATCATTAATAAACCCATTTGACATTTTGTTTTCATGCCAGGGCAGTTAATGGACCAGAGACTTTTTTTCTTCCACTGAATACATTACTGATGGACGAGAGGAGAGATGCCAAAGTCGTCAAACATAAAGTTGGGGAAGAGAGAGATGCAATTTTGGTCAGATACAGCACAAAACAAAGTACTAACAATTCCTATACAGTTTTATACCGCGAAAATATCGAGCGAAAAATAACAGTTCCAGATTGCATAGAAATACTCATGTGCAAAAGTACTCAATTATGAATACTTAAATACTTAATCCACGGTAGTATCATTGTGGTACCAATCCATAGAATATATTTGATTATGAGGACTTTCTTTGTCAGAAAAGATAAGTTTTTAAGGCATCACCGTCTTTTTAATTAGTAGTGATTAATTTAGTTTTACGTTTCATTATGGGCTTTTCATAGGTTTCAGTTAGAAATCTTTTTTTTTTTTTTTTTCACAAAGAAAAGCCAAGACATGTACCGTAATTTTCATACTACCGCAGGGCCTTTATCTCCACTGCTGTCAGACTGTACAATAAGTCAGTTTAAGTCACTGCACTACTATTGCCACTTTTTATTGTATATAATATATCCTGCATTTAACATGTTGCACATTTCTTTCTTTTGCACAATCTTGAGTGATTCTATCCATGCCATATGTGACATGTAAATTTCTCCTGTGTGAGATCAATAAAATCTATCTTATCTTATCTAATCTTACTATAAGCAGCTAAGTTTTTCTAGTTATTTGAACCCTGCGACTTATATACCAATGCGGCTTATGTGTTTTTTTATTGTTGTCGAGTTGGGCACTTATCAGAGCCGAGTTTATGGACTTTTTGCATTTGTTTTAGTAGATGTTGGACTTTGGTTTACGGTCAAAATTGACTGGTGAATGAGTACCGGCGTAGATTATAATGAAAAGATCCTTTATTCGTCCGACAGTGGGGGAATTTCAGTGTTGCATCAGCGGTCATAGAACAGTAGGAATGAGGATCACATAACACACAAAATGAAATAAAGTATCGAACTTTAGCATAAAAGCTAACAGGTAAAAACATTGTCATTAAAATATGTCGTGACCAGTTAAAAGCAGTCGTCCCTGTGCTAAATATGTGTTCAGGAAAGCGGTCCCACCTGAGGAAGACCACGGAGAAGAAGGCCCCGGCCAAAGAGACCATCACCAAGCTGCAGCAGTCCAACATCTGGAAAATGGAGAATGAGTTTTACGAGTTTGCCCTCGAACAGTTCCAGTTTGTGCGCGCTCACGCTGTCAGGGAGAAGGACGGCGAGCTCTACGTGCTGGCTCAGAGCTTCTTCTACGAGAAAATCTACCCCAAAGTCAACTGAGCGACACAAAGAAGGGGCACGGACTCAAAAGCGATGCTGTTTCGACCAGTGCTAAAGGCTGCTGACTTCTCCATGAACATTTATTGCAGAGAAAATGTCCCGATGAGTTTTTCTGGAACGTTTTTCTCTCGCCGTCGATGCAGCTGTCGAAGAAACTCGGCGTGAACAACTGGAATCATGCAGATGTAGTTTTGAATTTCACCAAACGAAGCCTGAAACTTTCAAACTTTCCCATTCCTTTTGCATTCAGAGGCAATCCGAGATTAGTTGTTTTTTTATAATAGAGTTGTATGGCAGCACTAAGTCACAGATCAATGAATACAATGTTTTAGATGTTTTTTAAAGTAAGAGCTGATATGACTAGTACAGGGTTTAACATTTTGACGTTTGACTTTGATACTGTAAATGGTTCGTTGAAATAAAGATTTTTAAAAGATTTGTCGTTTGTATGTCTTCTGTTTTTTGACGAGGCCAAAATACTGAAAACATTTTTTTCCATGTATTGGTTTTCAACAATCAACAAAATCTGCCCTGTGGTTTTGGATGTCCCTTGAGATCTTATTTTTGATCATAAAACAGACACAATACATATGATACAACACAGATTGCATGTACGCGTACTCTTGCTCCGCAGAGTGGTTGGGTGCTTCCTTAGAGGTAGGGTGAGGAGTTAATTCACATGGGAGGAGCTCGGAGTACAGCTGCTGGTTCTCCATGTCGAGAGGAACCAGTGGCGGTGGCTCGGGCATCTGTTCAATTCAATTAAAATGTATTCTTGTATATCCCTAAGTAACAACAGTAGTTACCTCAGAGGATTTAACAAAACTTAAGGTTACGTGGTGTAACCCTGGTTCTTTGAGCGGATCAGTGAGCGGGTACCACCCTGGCGGTATAGCTGGAGGAAGTGTGTGTGGATAGGGAAGTCTGCTTAGACTGCTGCTCCTGCGACCCGGCAACGGATGAAGCGTAAACAATTGGATGGATGGATGGACAAGACAGGTTTGCTCCCTCAGACTGCACCCCACACCTTCACGATAATCATACAATCAGAAAACATACATTTCTGTATACAATAATCAGATACAGTCCATACATACAGTAGCAGGTAGAAAAATATATTATTTTTAAAGTATTATAACATTTTACATCATCGAGTAAGTAATATTTGCAGTCTATCATCTCTGATCATCCCTGTCCTGTCCATCTACTCCGTTTCTGTCACAGCCTTAATTTCAAGACAAAAATACAAACGCTAAATTTCTTTTGCAATTTCTGCTAACGGTTTAATTCAAGTATTTCATCAAAAGTGAGTGCTGCTTTGTAGATTGAAAGCCTGTATTCTGCCCTTGACCTGGTGTTTTGAACGGTATCCTTTTACAATGCAGTGATTTGTGAGGTGCAGAGGTCTGTGTGCGTTTGGCTGGAGGCAGGAGTTAGTTCCATTAACAGATGAATTCAGTCTGATAATGACTTGCTCTCATTTACAAAGAAAGAGCTGGTTCGGTATTGACGCAGAACGGGGTTAATTAGGAACACAATATGGCTCTTTGTTATTGTTCTCGGAGTTGTGGAGGCCATTTCGTACGTTTGTTTTTCATTAATACCGCGATACAGTCTAGAGAAGATAAAAGATGAATAAGCCGTCCTTGTGTGAACTATGCAATTAAGACATATTTTGTGCGGAAACTAATGCGATATAACACTTACATTTTTATGCTCTTGCAAATATGACCTTAATCGTCCCTGCAGTGTTTTCTGCAAATTATTAGAGTCGTAAAAATGAACGGAGCTGGTCGAAAATGGGAAGACAGTCATAAGGCAAGGTAAGTTTATTTGTTCAGCACAGCCCATACACAAGTTAAATCAAAGTGCTTAACAAAACAAAAGAAAAGGCATCAAAGTCATAGATAATTGCAGTTTATTAACAAGAGTGAAGATGCAATCATTCAGCTGTTTTTAACCTGGATTTGAACATTACAAAATCTGTCTCACATTTCAGGAAGACTGTTCCAGATTTAAGTTACATAAATATTATATACATTCTGACTCCACGAGCAAAAATCTTGTATACATACTTAGGTTATTTTACTTTGGACTAGAGCAGAGAAAATGGTTCGAAACAAGCGGCTACTCCACCTTTTGACCTGTCCTGCTCCACCCAGAGGCTACTCCACCTCTGCTGCTCTGACCTGTCCTGCTCCACCCAGAGGCTACTCCACCTCTGCTGATGTGACCTGTCCTGCTCCACCCAGAGACGGCTCCACCTCTGCTGCTCTGACCCGTCCTGCTCCACCCAGAGGCTACTCCACCTCTGCTGCTCTGACCTGTCCTGCTCCACCCAGAGGCTACTCCACCTCTGCTGCTGTGACCCGTCCTGCTCCACCCAGAGGCTACTCCACCTCTGCTGCTCTGACCCATCCTGCTCCACCCAGAGGCTACTCCACCTCTGCTATTCTGACCCATCCTGCTCCACCCAGAGACGGCTCCACCTCTTCTGCTCTGACCTGTCCTGCTCCACCCAGAGACGGCTCCACCTCTTCTGCTCTGACCTGTCCTGCTCCACCCAGAGGCTACTCCACCTCTGCTGCTGTGACCCGTCCTGCTCCACCCAGAGGCTACTCCACCTCTGCTGCTCTGACCCATCCTGCTCCACCCAGAGGCTACTCCACCTCTGCTACTCTGACCCATCCTGCTCCACCCAGAGACGGCTCCACCTCTTCTGCTCTGACCTGTCCTGCTCCACGCAGAGACGGCTCCACCTCTTCTGCTCTGACCTGTCCTGCTCCACCCAGAGGCTACTCCACCTCTGCTGCTGTGACCCGTCCTGCTCCACCCAGAGGCTACTCCACCTCTGCTGCTGTGACCCGTCCTGCTCCACCCAGAGGCTACTCCACCTCTGCTGCTGTGACCCGTCCTGCTCCACCCAGAGGCTACTCCACCTCTGTTACTCTGACCCATCCTGCTCCACCCAGAGACGGCTCCACCTTTGCTGCTCTGACCTGTCCTGCTCCACCCAGAGACGGCTCCACCTCTTCTGCTCTGACCTGTCCTGCTCCACCCAGAGGCTACTCCACCTCTGCTGCCGTGACCCGTCCTGCTCCACCCAGAGGCTACTCCACCTCTGCTGCTGTGACCCGTCCTGCTCCACCCAGAGGCTACTCCACCTCTGCTGCTGTGACCCGTCCTGCTCCACCCAGAGGCTACTCCACCTCTGCTACTCTGACCCATCCTGCTCCACCCAGAGACGGCTCCACCTTTGCTGCTCTGACCTGTCCTGCTCCACCCAGAGGCTACTCCATCTCTGCTGCTGTGACCTGAAGGGCTGTCTCTGATTATTATTGTTATCTCTTCAGAATGATCAATTTATTTTTTTCATTTTTGCTGCTACTGGACACCTGAATTTCTCCTCTGGGGATCAATAAAGTATCTATCTATCTATGAACAGAAAATAGAGTGGATGTCTAATGTAAAGTAAGAATTAATATGCACAAACACACACACACACACACACACACACACACACAAAGCTATACTTACATAAGAACAAATCGGTGAATTAAATAAACAGCACTTTAAATCATGCAAAAAAATTCATGGCTACAACCTTCTTTATTTTTGTTAGCGGCAAGGATATGACAGAATATTTGTTGTTGTTTTACTTTGAATGCAAGAGAGGACCATTTTTAGTGAGACACTCTAATTGAGAAAAACAATCTATTTGAATCTAAATCTGCTAATCCCCCAAACCAAATATTATCTGTATTTAAAAAAAAACACACACACAACAAAAAATACCACATACTAAACTTGTCAAAAGAACATGCTTTCATTCCACTTCTCTATTTCTCTGTAAGGACATCACACAAAATAATTATCCTCATCCACACCAGAGGGCGCTGTCCCCCTACCACCCAGCCCTCAGTCCCTCCCTCTCCACTCAGGCCCCATTACTGCACCTGTGAGGAGCCAAATGGAACAAACTAATAGAGCATTACCATTAACAATACAAATGACACCATCAGGCACACTTGGCTCTGGGGCTGCTGACGGCTATTAATAGTTTGACTGCATGGGTCTTGGACGATTTGTGCCGCACTTGCATAATGACGGCTCTCAAATTAATTCGCCGTGTGGAGTGTTGTAAAGGAGACATTTTGGCCCCTTTTTAATGATGTGCCTCTGCCTTTCCCTCTGCAGTTTTAGAGTTTTTTTTTTTTGTGGGGGGGGGGGGGGGGGGGGTTGGAAAGTGAAGCTGCAGCTGCCTCAGACTAGGAGTGTGTTACTAGGTGCTTTGATGGACCCAATGCTAAAGCTGTGTAGAATAATGGCCTTTTATAACGATGTTTTCGCAAGGCTGCCCAGTGTGTACCAAAGTTGCGATTGAGGTAAAATGTGTGTAGTACAAGTTGGTAGCCGTGTCTCTTCCCTCACATAATACGAACTTGCCAGAGTTTATAATGTCTCTAACCAGGAGTTCATGGACTTGTCTTTGTCATCTGTTATACTAGTTTTTTCACTTTGAAAGCATATGGGGTGCCCTCTCTCCCTTCCCTTGGCGAGCCGAGGTGACAATGGCGTTACTCCCACTTGATTGGACTTTACGACACTTTGAGTTCTTCCATGCCATTTATGGACTTTATCAACATTGATGGAATTTGGTCATCTGGCCCCTTTTTGACCAGGTTCAAGATTACTCTACCCATGGGAAGATTCTTTTTGCAGATAGAGAGATACTTTATTGATCCCCCGTAGGAGAAATTCAGTTGTCCAGTAGCAGCAAAATAAAACAAGATCATTCTTAAAAGCTAACAATAGTAATAATAAGCAACAGCTCTTCAGGTCACAGCAGCAGAGGTGGAGTAGGCGCTTGGTTCGGACCATTTTCTCTGTTCTGGTCCAAAGTAAAATGCTAAACACTTCATTAGTATTTTTCAAAAAGTTAGGCTTCCTCCAGTGGATTTTCGCCTGATCCGCTTCTTTCGGACCATGAATCCTCTCTG